AGGCAGAGCGCTCCGGTGCTCATGCAAAAGTGCCGGCCGGCTCCCGCGAGGCTGTCCCGCAGTTGCCGGGGCACGGAACTCCTGACTCCGAAGCTGACCTGGAATCCGGGGAAGAGTCCAAACCGGGACTGGAGGAGCCGGCCCGGCTGTGCCGGGAGGCTGCGGGGTCGCTGCTCAGCGTGGAGTTACCTCGGTGCGACCCTCCCCTTCCCGCCCCTTCCCCTCCCCCCCCCGCCCGTTCTGGGGTGTTGGGCGCTTATTGTTTTAATAAAATTTTTGGTTGTTTTGGTCCTTGAGTGTGATTTGTTTTTAAAAGCTGCGAGTAACGTGTCTGTTCTCGCTCCTCTCAGGCTCTCTCGGAGGCTTTGCAGAGAGGTCTCAGCGCATCCATTTTCTAAGATCCTCTCCTCTCGCGACAGGAATTTGGGGCCCCTGAAGGCGCCTTGGAGCTGAGAAGCGGCGACTGGGCTCTCGGAAGGGTGTGCACAGTGGCTGTAGGAGCTCCCGGGTGGCGGCGGCGGTTCTTCTGGGCTGGACTCGATGAGGGGAGGAAGCCGATTTTCCCAGCAAGATCTCCATGTACAGCTACATCTTTAGGGCCGCTCGGGTTAATATATGTCGTCAGAGGCTCCTCACGCCAATCCCGGGGCGGCGGGGGCGGCGCCTCGCGCACTCCGCAATAAAACTTTTTGATGTTCACGTTGCTAATTGCTGAGGTCCTCTTCTAGGATTGGCTGTCCACTCATAACTATAAGATAATTAAAACGGGGGGGCAGGGTTAAAAAAACTTTTTATCAGCCATAGGTTAATTCAAGTGTTTAACAGATGCTTCACTATTAAAATACACCCCCCCCCCCAATATTGAAGAATCTCAAACCAGGTACAGTATCATTTCACTTTCTTTTCTGGTTACAAGGGTTGGGGTGAAGGGAAGAAAGAAAGCAGATAATGCTTTTGTCAAGTATTTTTTTTTGGGGGGAAGTGGGAGGAAGGTAACTGAGGCACAAAACCGAGCAGGCAGCTTCCTGTAGTTTTGTGCCGAGCCGGAGAAGGGGGGGGGCGTGTGGTGGCGACAAGAGTCTGGTGGCGGCGGTACGGATCCCCATTAAGGTGCAGTTGGGAGCAGCCGACTCTCTTTGACCGGACTGGTACCCAGCGCTCTTTTGACCCCGCAGACGTTGGAAAAAATTCAGTGGCTCTTTTGCTTAGGAACTGATTTGGATGACTCGGGTTCTAGTGACAACTTGCAGAGATGGTGGATGGGACTTCGGTTTGTAGATGCTCTCATTTGCATATTCTTCTGGTGCAGCAACCCCAAGACAGACTTTGGAGGCTTTCAAAGTGGGGCACCTCGATTTCTCGAATCTGTGGTGTGGCGAGTACCCGTGTTCCGCTGGTTTAACTAGCCTGTTTGGTAAGTAACTGAATAGTTTTTACAGCGTGTTCGGAGCTTATTTTCTGGTTTTTATGAACAAACATATAAATATATCTCTGCATTCCTGCCTCCCCCATAAAAGCGGGCATCTGTGGAAACCAGGTTTAGTTATCGGAGGGGAGCCATTAAATGGCTGTTTAAGAGGCAGGCAGGGAGGAAGGCTCGTGGATGTTTAGACTGCTTGCCTTGGCGATCTTGAACGCATTAGAACGGAAAATGGATCTCTACTTGTAAGTGAGCCGGCCGCGGGGCACCCAGGCAGACCCCTAGCAGCACGGGTGGGTGGAGGCGGCCAGTGGAAGAAGCTGAAATCACCCTGTGGCCTTGGCCGCAGATGCCTGGAGAGGCCAACAGTGTGTGAAGATTCCTTCTGCTCACTCGCACGATGGAGGTCGGTGTGCAGCGGGGTGTGCAGCAGATGCCCGTAGGCTGTAATTTCGATCAAGTTTAGGGCTGGCCTTGAGAACTAAGTAGGCAGGCAGAGGGCACACCAGTGACTCCACCTTGGGCATCTTCTTTGGAGGCAGGGGCAGTCTGGCTCCAGACATCAAAGAGAACCCAGGCTAAGGATTCCGCATGGGTAGTCCTTTCCGTGCCCCTGGCTGGCTGGGTTCTGTCTGGAAGGCCAGGTCAACAGGAATTGGAGGGGGCCCAACTGGTTGCTCCCATGGTCTCCCGCCTGAGACCTTGCTGGCTACTGCATTGTGGTAGTCTCACTGAGAGTTTTAAAAATATAGACATATGGAGCTAGGTGGTGGAGAAGGGGGAAACTCAAAGACTGGGGCCTATCTTCTGTCCATCGGGACAGTTTTCCTTTCAGTTCCCAGTTGAGGGTCCTAAGACAGAGAACAAATTCTGGTTGGGAAATAGCTGGAACCAGTCTTGCTGGTGAACCCAGAGGATTGCATTTGGTAGCAGGATAAAAATAATGACCCAACTCGGGTGGGTCTGTAGTTGGGGTATGGTGAGAGTTTTCAAGAGAACCATTTCTTCAAGGAAAGAACAGAGGCAGTATGGTGGAGGATTCTGTTTCCATTTTCACCGGGAGGGTACCCTGAACCAGTAAATACTGGGAGTTCAGTCCTCTGACATTTGATACACTTCAAAAAAAAAAAAGTCTGTTTATAAAAACATGTAGGCCTTGGGAGCAGGTAGACCAATTAAGATGAATGTACCGTGGCCAGCAACAGATAAAAGAAAAAATTAAGCAAGTGAATTTCTTGGCTGCCTTAGAAAATCGACTTTTAGGGCCTTGGGAGATAGAAAAAGAATCCAGAGGAAGATAGGGCTAAGGATGGATAAGCTGTCTGGCTCCCAGTGGCCCTGGAATCTAGGGACCAGAACTTGCTACTTTTAGCCCCCTTTCATGCTTTTTAAATTGAAACCAATAACAACAAAAAGCATGGGTCCAGATAGCATCCTCACAAGTGATAAAAGAAGTGGATAGCAAGGGGGCAGAAAAGGGGCCGTAAAAGAGGCTAATCTGACCATCTTTCTGCACTGACAGCACCATTATCGGCTAAGCTACAAACCAGGGGGTTGAAGCTTCGTGTATCTCAGAAACCCTAATGCAGAGACTAGAGCTTCAGAAAGGCAGTCTGGAGGTAGCTGGAGAGAGGGCACAAATGGGTAAGTTTTGGTGGTTTCTCCCATGTAGTAGCTGGCTGGCTCTAACTGAGTGGTGTCCTTAACAGGTTTGTTCACCTTTTCATTTTAGTATCTTTGGACCCGTTTTACTCAGGAAGCTTAGGATGCGGGGTTAGCTTGGTGCTTTGCAAACTACCAAGCTAAGATGCTGTTTTAAATTTGTCCCCATTTTATGTGGCCTACCCCCATGCAAGGGTGGTCCTGAGATAACTAAGAGTGATGTGGTGGAGAGATTGGCACTGGTGATCAGGAAGAAGGTGGGCTGAGAAGGCAGGTGTAGAGTTGCCAGCTTAGATGTCAACTCCCTCATTCTTGGGCTGTACCATTAAGGCCTCTGGAGAACTACTTCCTTAGGGTACACATTTAAAATCCCCAAAGACCAAGCAACTGCGATGATGCTGGCCGTGGGCCATTCTGGGTGCCTGGAGGAACCTTACAGAGGGTCATCTGTCTCCTGGGAGACCCAGGGCTCAGCGGTCCTGGGTCTACACACCATCACATGAAGGCAGCCCAGGTTCAGGGTAGTGTTGGAGATTCCGTGTGGACTTCTCTGCCGCTGATAGTGTATCCACAGTGTTGCACGGTGCATCTTCTTTCAGCCAAACAAGCAAGGCTGGTTTCAAACATTTATTTTGCACCTCTGTCACTTGTCTCCTTTCTTTTACTAGCATCTTCTTTCTCTGAACAAGAAATCAAAGAGCAAGAAAAAGGCTGGGGGACCCCCCCCCTCCGCAAGCATTTTGCCCCTGTGAGATATTTCTTTTAAGCTCTGTTTAAGCAAATATTTTTTTAAACTTCAGTCTCTTTTTGGGGGGAATTCAGATCTTTTCGAGGTATTTATTATTTCAAAGGCAAGGACAGTTTTGTATCTTGTGCTTTGCTCAGGAATACTCAAAATAAACTGGGTCTGAGAAGAACCAGGCCAGAAGGTCATAAACACACATTTTATATTTACAGGAATTATGGTTCAATTCCCTTCATCATCTTTCAGACCTCTTCTTACCTTCCTTTCCTAACTAAAGGAGCCGAGAATTGATCGTGAACATCCCTTTAAATATCTCTAACACGGTGAACTCCAGATCATCCTAAGATCCCCAAAGGAGTTCCAAGTCCAGAAGGTGTCAGGAAAAGGAATCCTGACAAACTCTGCCTCACAACTCTGCCTCACCTGCTCCAAAGACACAGTTTCTTATACACTCTAATCGCCCTGCAGGCCTTTTCTCTACTGGGGGGCACTGTGTCACATTAGATGTTAGCCACTTTGTTCCTCCATGTTTTAGGACGTCCAGAACAAGGCCTCCCAGCTGAGTGGCAGCAAAGGTCGCCCTCTGATAGGGCTTTTGTCTTTTCCTTTTGTGGTGGTTGTCTACAGGCATGGCAACAATGTTTCAAAGTAGGCAGCCACAAAGTAGGAATCCTAGCGATTGAACTTTTACGTCTGCTTCAAAAAAGCAAAGGGCAGGAGAAGGTGCCCTTGACTCTTATGTGGCTTTCCTTTCTTCTGAACAATTTCTTCTTGGATTTTGGGGGAGGGTGGGGCATTTGGAGAGTAGACCCTCTTCCTCTTAGTTCTCCATTCAAAACAGATCTGTTACAGATGGAGGAGGGAGGGGCTGGTTCAAAGGCAGGGATGACTATGGAGAGGTTGAATTTAAAAAATGAATTCTTTAGTTCACGTGTGGCTAGCAAACAGTAAAGCCAGGACTTGCCAAGTGCCTAGACATTTCTCCCTTATTTTTCTTCTCCTTCCACCTCCCCTTTCCCCTTCTTTCTTCTTCCATAACTTAACCCCCTCCCCAGAAGTGTTGGGGCTTATATATTACTTGCCCTTGTCACTGAACCCGAGACTCATGGAAGAATGAGGTACTAGTTTATCCTTAAATTCTCTATGGAAAAATCCTACTATCCATTATGACCGGGAGTAGATCTTCCATTTTCTTCAATAACCCATGACTGCATTTTTGCATTAACGAGATGATTGCTGCTGTGGAGAGCTCTCATTGATGAAGAAGGATTTGGTACTTTGACAGGTATCCGTAAATTAAAAATAACTCATTCAGACTAAAGGCAACATAAAACGTGCTGTGAACAGGCATTGCAAAAGATAGTATTGCATATAATAATATTATACTTAACATATGAGTTGTTATTATAGTAGTCTCAAGAAGTATGATAAATCTGACCTTTCCTGCTTTGTAGTAAAATCCTGGTCTTAGAATAAAAGTGTTACAAGACAATACATCCCTCAGGATTTATACAACATACTTTAAGAACTGCATACACATAGATATATTTCGAGGCTGGATAAATATTTGAGAGGTAGACCCTGGTTTACACTCCCAGCACTTAACAAATAAAGAAAGAAACACAATCAAACAACAACATAATAAAATAAAAATGAAAGATGAAAATAATTCTTTTTTTTTTTCTGAGCTGTAAAGAAACCATTTAGAATTCCGATGAAAATGTGAATGCGATTTTGCCTTCCCCCTCTCTGAACTCGCCAGCGACGAATTTAAGCTAGCACGCCATCCAGTCTGGGGTCCAGAATAAAACAGAAATGAAATGGCTGCTTAACACGTGGGGCTTCTGATGCATCATCTGTGGAGCTGGAGAATTTACTTCTTACTTGAGTCCGGTTTCTTCCCAGCCCTAAAGGCCATATTGGAGGCACTTCAGGGAAGTCTCCACAATGTGGCTTCACTTGCAGAACCACAGAGATGGATTTGCTTTAGCTCGGACAGTTCCTTACAAGCTCTTTCTGCATTCTTCTGCAGTCTGTGCTTATAGACAAGGAAGGGACTTGAGCCAGGATGGTTAGGTTTCAGGTTAACAAAAAGAAACACTTTTATTGTCAATATTAATGGCAAACTTCGATTTTTACAAGCCTGGGGTTGAGCAGATCAAAAGCAGCTTGTCTTGATTTCTCAATATTCTCTGGCGCTTAGACAATTACCTGCAATTTTGGTTCTAATGAAACAATGGGAGAAAGGTAGTTGCAAAAAAACTCGAAAGTTAGTATTTGAGTGCCGATTTTTACCTGTACATGACATATTATGACTTAGTGATTTATTCCTTCAGCTGGAGCTGAGTTTTGAAGAATTCCTTCAAGAAAACTATGTTTAAGCAATGTCCTCACTTGCAATGTCATGGGTCTTTTTCAGTGTGTGCATTCCACGGTTGCCTTTCTGGCCGGGTAAGGATCCGGCAGACTGAGGTCTTCCTGGTAATTTGGGTACACCGAGTCTCCAGTTAATGATAGATAATCAGCCTTTAGGTCATTCGGTCATTCTCTTATTACAAACCCCTACTGCTCTCTCTGATCTCCTTTCAAACTAAATTTCACACAAACAAATAAAGCAAGACAGGGACAAATTCTTAAAAAAAAAGAGGCAGAAATATTAGAAACTTCTGATATAGAACTCTAAACAAGGAAAGGCAAACCAAGAGAGGATAGGAAAGAACATCTTATCAAAATGAACATGCTGTGTACAAAACATTAAAAGGAAAGGGTCTGGTTTCTGTTAAAGTGACAGAAAATTAAAATAAAAATGATTGCAGGCAGCAAAGTCATAATATAAACAGAGAAGTCAGGATGCTTGCTGGAAATGCGCAGCACTAGGAGGCAAATTTGTTGTTACCGATTATGTATCTGCGCTCTGATTGGAGAAGCGCTACTTTGTTCCATTTTTTTCCAAAAGAGAATGGTTTTCTTTTTAATACTTGTATGAGTGCCCATTTAAGTCCGCACAGGCCCTAAACTCGAGGAATGAAAAAGTGGAACTGCATTTTTCTTGCAAAGCATCCAACTTCAAACGAGGCAGTTATTTGCATCCAGGAAAAGCAGAATTCCATTGAGAATGCATTTGGATACTTCAGGAAACCCGTTGTGACTGGTGCTTTTTTTTTTTTTTGACAGAAGGCACAGTGCATTCTCGAGCAAGAACAACGAAACCAGCCTTCTGCACCTCCTGGGGTTTTTCTCTTGCCATCTACAGAAGAGTGTGACTTCAGAAAGAAACTTCAGATTGGCCAAGGTACATCTCGGATTAGACCCCAGGGAAAAGAGCAAACATTCAAGGGCTCAGGCAGTCAGGTTGTCTGGTGAGAGCGCCCCTAGTGTCATCTTACTGTATCTGTCCTTCACAGTTCCCTTTGAGAGAGGCTACTAAGCTGGGCAAAGACTACCAACTTCCCAAACTACCAAATTCCAACCCGGCTTTCAATCTTAAACCAGGTTGGGATTTGGGCTCAGGACTAGCTCAGCCTGACATTCTCCGAGTTACAAGGACAGTGAGAGAAGGATGCTGGCGGTGGACAGCCGCTCAACATTGTTGCCAAATGTGGGTCTGGCACCTTTTGACTTGCCAACCTCCTTGACAAAAGGCCCACCTTCCCAAGTTAGCGAAGAAACCACACTTGACCGTTGCCCCTCAGTCCTTCCAGAGTTCTTCCACAAAGCGGGAGGCCTTCTGATTACAGATTTTCTTTCTGCGCCCAAGTCAAGCCCCATTCTCTGAACTCCTTTCTGGTGGGGCAGCACATACACCCTTGCTGTTCTCTGAGCAACACCCTTGCTGTTCTCCTATCCTGTTTAAAAACAAAACAAAACAAAACGCATTTAATGTTTTGCACAAAAAGATGCCTCAACAACTGGTGGGCAGGCAACTTAGAGAAACCCGGACGTTCTAATTGCAATCAGGTTGTTTTATTCTACGTTGAAGGCTATTAGAGCTGGTAAGCGACTTGGAAGCCATTTATGAAGGAACAAGACCTCCAACCTCAAGCCTTTGCAGGCACTGGGAAAAGTGTCTTCTAGATCAGTCTGGCCTGCAGGCAGGCTGCACGACCAACTTGGTTTGGCTTCTCTGGTACCCATTCCAAGTACCCCAAACTCCAAAGAGTTGGAGGTAGCCAAGGTGGCCTTAACACTCCACCACCTCGGTTAGTACCTTAGTTTCTCTCTTCATTGAAACAGTGGTGGGAACGAAACAGGCCTGGGGGTTGTGAGCAAGATTAAAAAGAGCAAGGCGCCCTGGAGAGTGTTGCTTGATACCAGGCTGCTCTCAATAATTATTCGCCTATTTTCTCCCTCCTCTTCGTTTATTTTAATTTTTTTTCTAATTTTTATTTATTTATTTTTATTTTAAATTTCCCTCTGGATCTAGCCGCCCCCCAAATCCAGCGCGACAGCCTTGGGCGTCAGCGGGCCAAGTGCGCCCTTCCGGTGCGGCCTAACTCAGGGCGTCTGGTCTGCCTACTCGATTCGCTGCATCCTGCCTCGTCGGCCTCCAGCAGCACAAAACCTGGTCTTCTGGGAGATCGCTGCTGTCCTCAAGGACCTGCTGCAGCCCCGGGGCAGGGGAACCTGCGGCGGCGGGGGTGGGGTGGGGTGGGGGTACTACCGGCTTATAGACCTCCTGGGGTACAGGCGTACTTGCCTGAACTGAGTCCTGGGTTCTCTCCCACTCTCCCCATCCATTCTAGTCAAATTCTCGGTCGATCTCAAAGCCCCTTTCTGGGGAGGGTAGGAGGAGACCAATTCGCCACGTTCAGGTTAGGAGAGGTCACTGCTGGGAATCGTGGGCCCTCACCTTTCCCCAGGCGTCTCCGAGAACTTTTCGCCCGATGCGGGCAGGAAGGGGTTAACCGCGCTGCCTCTCTGGCTCACCCCAGAGCCCCTGGTGCCGAGGGAAGGCCACCGCTCCCCCTACCTCCCCCCAACCCGGTCTCATTAGGGAAACCCTCACCGCTATTTTCAACATTTCCTCAATCAAGTGCCCTGAAATAGAGCTGCACAAACAAATTGGCGGCAAAAGCGTAGATCTTGTCACGATGGAGGCGAATCCAACATTTCAACCTTGTTTGCTTTGCAATTACGGGCTTGGGCTTGTGCCTCTGGTGCCACCGGGACAAATTCGCTGCGGTCCGCTGACTTCTCTGCACCCCGAGCGGCTGGAGGAAGCGACCCGGGAGTCACTACTGGGAGAGGCGGGGGCGGCTTGGACAGGGGTGACCCAGCTAGGGCTTGGCGGAGCCCTAGCCTAGACCCCTGTGCAAAGGGCGCGCAGAGTGTGGGTAGACCGTGAGAGTGTGGGTAGACCGTGACTTTCCAGGTTCCTGGTGGAGCCACCGAAGTATATGCGACAATAATAAAACGTAAAATCCACACATCGAAGCCAGGGCTGTGTCTTCAGCTTCCTTTCTGTCCCCAGCTTCTCTTCCCTTCTCTCCTAACTTTTCTACAGTACGGGTTAGTGGTTCTGGAGTTCTCCCTGCTTCCTTGCTGGTAAACTGTTAGCATGTTGTCTTCGCCATAGCTGCTCCTGCTTGACTTTTTGTACATAGTTACTTTAAATCTGCTGAAAGAACCAAACCCCTGTCCTAGGACAGGCTTTCCCACACGTGTGGTTGGGGGCGGCTAGCTCACTTTTCTTTCTTTCTGGGGTAGCCTTTCCTTCGGTGCTGGGAGCCTCGTTTGTGTCAGCAGAACAGTAGTTAAGTCAGTTCCTAAGCCTTGTATTTCACAGACAATTAAATCTTGGCTGCTGTTTAACGAAATTGTAATATTTACTCTGTCCTATACTGAGGAGCACTTTTGGAGGAAAAAAAATAGCAAATATTACATTTCAAACAGAAAATACAATAATAAATCTCTTTTTATGGATTCTCCCTGCATAAGTGGAAACAACATGATTTAAGTCTCTGCACTCCCCCCCCTTTTCGAGGCCGGCTGGAACTGGAAGGCGCTGTCAGGTAGTACTTCCATCTCTGATGGGGAGACACCTGCATCCGAGATTTCACGCTCCATTCTGGTGCTTATCACGTGCAACAAGGATTATTAAATAGTACGGTCTTGGATACAGTTTACTTTTTCTGTGGATGCAAGAAAGATGGGCGTGACTGGAGGAGCTGTGGCTTCATGTCACTTTGCAAACAGATGGCTATTTTTCTTCCATTCGGCTTTCACAGTAGGGGAAGCTGAGGAAGAGAATTCTTGTCTGACACTCTGGAGTCCATACTGACATGAACTATGCTATTTAAAAACGTGTAAGGTGCAGTCTGTTTTTGTTTGTTGGTCATAAACTAAATTCATGGTCACTATGGTCAATAACTAATCTTTTTCTCCCCACAGTTAAAAACACTTTTCCCCACTTTTAGTTTATGATCCCAGTTAGAGTTTATCTTCTACTGTAGCTCTCAGTTTTAACTAAAGCAAATCTTAGGACTGATGCCTTCATAAATTCCGGAGTAGAAAAATGGAAGAATTGCTGCATCTGAATCCTCAGAGGCACATGTACCCATGCACGTTTCCTGTATCACTAACCAGGCAGCTGATCGCTTTAATATCCCAAGGAATAGGAAGCAGTAGTTGGAAAGAGTGCCATTTTATAAGAATTCTCTTTTCACTATCAGAATCGGTCTGGCATATTACCCCATGTCCAAATTATACTATTACTTTCATGTGTGTTAATCTGTTTGGTATTAAGATGGTGAGAGTGTTGTAACCATGAACATGTTTTTACCATACCACTTTCAATTGGGTCATCTCAGATAATTATGAAGATGTTGAAGTTAACCCCACTTTAAGTGAACAACTATGAAAATAGCTGTAAGGCATTATTATTCTCATATAAATGCCAACAAACACGATTGTATGGGAACATGATTTCTTTCTATTTGACATTATCCTATAAGGATATGGCTATATTAATTTCTTTTAAAATCAGGGCAGTTTTCAATTATTAGTTTTCAACAGAACTTTTTTTTTAAACCACAGTATTTTGCAATTCCAATAAACCACAGCAATTTGATACTGACAGATACTGCATTTCTACATTATTGTTCAGCAATCTTTTTGCAAACTAAACCAAAAATAATATTCAAAACTATCAACATGTAAGGCACAATTATTAGGGTCTACATATTAGGTAAGCCAATGCTATTAAAATTGGAAACACGTGTTTGGCATAAAGAATGCTTCTTTGGAATTCCTTTTTGGATACACAGTTATTCTTTTAAAAACTAACTCAGATTTCTAAATACCGAGATTTCACTCTGAAAAGGGATTGCATTGTTTTAAACAGTAGCTCCTGGAACAGTATCTTTCTTAGTATTTTCGACTTTCGAACAATTGGAATTGGGCAAATGCTTTCAGCTAGGAGCACGTTCCTAATACTTTTGTAGGTAACAGGATTCTTCCTTCCTGCTGAGTGACAGACAGACAGTACACTGGACAGGCTGCTCACCCTTTGCTGAAGCTACCATAACATCTCCCCCTACCAAGAGATATCTTGTGATCCATCTAAAAACAAAAATTCTGTTAAATGTGAAATCAGAAAAAATAAGCAAGTGCTTTCTCAGCTACAGTTTTGAAGTGACGGCTTAATGCGGTGCAGAACAGACAAGACCGAGGATACAGAAAAGTAAGGCATGAAAAAGAGATTTTGCTAGAATGAGATCTGTTTTTGTTCATAAACAGGAGGCTGAGAAGCTAAATCCAAGATTACTGTTCTCTTCAATTCAGTGGTTTTTAAAATTGTCCACTCCCTGTGGATGAAGAAATCCAATCAAGAAAATACACGTAAATTCTTGTATATATGCAAATGCTAGCTTCCTGTGGTTTTACACGTTATGTTGAAATATAGACCTTTAAAGTAGGCTACCACCATCCTTTCTAGCCCAATACACGGTATGTTACATGTTATAAAGTACTGATTAAAAATATATCTGTGAGAAGATTTCTATAAATTCCTAATTGCTGAGCAAAATGTGACAAAGTTTTATCTGGAAAAAGCCGGCAGTTTAATTGTTATTAATCAGGGACAAATAAATAAGGAAGCTGTCTTCTTACATTCCTGGTAATTCTTTCTACTTTCTCAAACATTGTTAGGTTCTATGCATCTTGTGTTATTCAAGTCAAGATGGTGTCATTAATCAAATTACAGAATCTAATCAAGTAAGTATTTTTGCTTTATTACAAAATTTATGCATCATCTTGGACTACTGAATTGCTTAGTTGCTTTACTGTTGATTTTTTTTTTCATTTTAGATATTGAACATTTTTCTAACGCCACTTCTACTTGCAAAGATAGCTGTGAGGGGCATCAAAGCTGAAAACAGTCACTGTAACAAAGCAGCATTTAAGTCTGTCTGGTGTTGATTGGGCTTTGTGAATTATACTGCATTTAAAATCACGACTTTGGTATTTACCATGGGGGCATCTAAGGAGTCCTTCATTTGCACAACTAAGAACATATAATTATGGTAGGAACCTTTCCTCAGAAGCGCTTCTCTACAGACATCAGATATTTTCAATTCTTTTCCTAACCCCACACTTCTACTTGTATTTTAAATAGAAAGTTCCAGAATGAGGAAGGGATGGATGTTCCAACTCACTGGGCTTTTCTTTGCTTAGACATCTTACTATCACAAGGCACCAATTTAGCTGAACTGAAAACTCACGATTGACAAGTTTGCTCAGCTCTCCTGTCTTTTTTTCCCCCATCAATAACTCTGATACTTGGAAGTAACTGAGTCACATGCTGTCTCTTTCTCATTATATTAGAGGGTAGAAATTTAAATTGTGGAAGAAATAAGAAGCTGTATACACTTTCTTATGTTGTTATCTTTGCTCCGCTTAGTGTTAGAAGGGACTTAACACATTTGTTTCAAGAATTGATGAGTTGCTATTATCCCCCCAAAATCTGTTTGTGAGACTAATTCATGAAAATATGATTACTATTTACTTTTGATATTTAGGTCAAGGTCAGTGATATGTTCTGACAATTATTTTGATCCCAGAGAGAAACAAAATCACAATTGGGCTGCAACCTGTCTTAAAACATTCATGTTGTTGCTCAAAGACAAATCTCAGCGATTCCTGGAGAGGATTTGTTAGACATGCCAAGCACAGTGCTGTAGAGCACTATGAGAAACAGCGGGGTCCAGGGAACAGGTTATCATGGATAGTGTGAACCCTGAGAACAGCCATCAACTGTGTGGCCTTGGAAAACTCAGGTAGCCCTTGTCTGCCTCAGTGGGTCCATCTGTAAAACATAGATAAGAATTTCAGTCATTATGTGAGGAACATTAGTGAGACTACACGGATGAGGTTCTTTGGAGGTCTAGTGTATATATGATAAGTACTTCATAAACGTCAGCCATTTTCCTCAGCCTGACTCTACAATGGGTGGCTTGGCAGTCAGAGCATGAGGATGCGGGTTGTTTGCAAACCTCACAGACTCTCTGTGAGGGGCCTGCTGTGGTTGCCAGTCCCCAAGCTGAAAGAAGGAAAGAAAGTTTCTGGTGTCTTCAGAGGTTCAAGAAAGACATAGCAACTGGGTGTAATGGAGCATGCTTACGATCCTAGCAACTCATAAAACTGAGTCCAGAGGGTCTACATGAGTTCAAGGCCAGCCTATATGACTGATGATGTAGTCTCAAACAAGAAAGAGACGATACGGGGAGATGGTCCTATGAAAGCTACCCTTGTGTTATCTTCAGCAGTGCTATAATGCTCTATTGGTGCCTAACATAAAGATCTAACTGGGGAAAATAACACATTAGGGAAATAAAACACTCCAGTGAATGGTTTTCTTATTTATTTATTTATTTATTTAATCTCAAATCTTTGCAATAATAAATTTTATGCATAGTCTTTTGAAAAATAACTAAACTATTTTATGAATATATAGTATATATATAATAAACCCATGGAGAATAAACAGGAGCCAGACAGTGGTGGCACATGCCTTTAATCCCAGCACTCGGGAGGCAGAGGCAGGTGGATCTCTGTGAGTTCAAGGACAGCCTGGTCAACAAGAGCTAGTTCCAGGACAGGCTCCAAAACTACAGAGAAACCCTGTCTCAACCCCCCCCCCAAAAAAAGGAAAAAATAAACAGGGGCTAAGATAGAGAAGAATCAGGTAATAGACAAGTATTTTAGCGTAAATTTCAGTCTTGTCTGTTTAAAAATACATGGTTAGACAGACATGGTGAGCTGCTGCCTTGTTCTGTGGCTGACTTTAGCGCTTAAGTGGGAGGTGACAGTCTTCTGCCATCCTTTGTAGATGGTTTCTGCCCCAGTTCTTTGCATGGTGTTACTCGGGAGGATCACTGAAGGAATCCTTCAGGCCCTTTGTTCATGATGAAGGTTTGGATTATATAATCTCCTTCTACATAATAAAGGCAGATGGATGGTGACAAACCCCACTCTCTGCTCTTAAAAAGCCACTGGTAGCCCATCTTGGGGTCATTTCTTTTCAAGTGAGACCTTATGTGCCTAGAGCATCTGCTGACACAGGACCCACTGAGGATGTTAGTGGCAATGGTTATATTTAATAGTAGTGTATAATTTCTAATTTTTTGACAGTAAAGCAAATGCAAGTGGAATATCTAATATAGTTATGGTATTTCTTTCTTTGTTCGCTATTATGCTATAGTCAGCAGTCATTATGTTTCCTGTCATTTCTCTAACTTGAAATTCTCTGGCAAAATGAGCAAGACCTTTAGGTACACTGGATATAATTCCTGTTTCTTGCCTTTTTCTATTTCCACATTGTAGTACCATTCTTTTTATGTTTACAAATTATCCACAAATTTCTCATTGCCCTCTCCATCTCTCACTTTCTAAGGCAGGTCAGATTTTATTTATTCCAAAGACAGAGTTGGAGACGAGCCATTGTTAGTGTTGACTGAGATAACAAGCAATCACCCGAGTCCATACAGTCGGTAAGTAGACAATCTGAGTTAAAAAGTTTGAAAATAATTTCATTCTACTTTGTGTTGTTAATTTTTAAAATAACACCTGAGCTGAAGGGAGAAATAGCAATAAAACTATAGGGAAGCGGTGATTCCCAGAGATCCTGGGAATGAATTAAAAGAATGTACATCTGTTCAAATATGGAAGAGTGTTAGATCAATGGTGTAGCCTTTGTTGAGCGTGCATGAGACTCTGGGCTCAATCTCTAGGACAAAGCCAAAACAACACAGACTCAAACTGTGAAGAAAAGGAATTCATACTTGTTGAGTGCATATTATATCCTCCATTCTTTACATGATTATTCTTTTAACATAGTTCTTGACATGTTTCACATATAAAGAAATTGAGGTTCAGAGTTGTTGAGTAACTTTCCCAAATACATTGTTATTAGCTTGTGGAGTTTGAAATAAAGGGAACTGACATTAAAATGCATATCTAAGTGCTGTTAACAGAACATCGCAAATTTAATATTAAACCCTTCTTGCAAATTTTTGTCCCAAATTCTATTTCTAGATTTGGCTAAAAATTAGCCACAATAAAACTGAGCACTAGCAAATATGAAAAGAATCTGGATTGCAATACTATACAATACTATACTCATACAATACTAGTGGAGATTAAAGCTATGATATCTTCTGGAAGATAGTTTAGTTCAGTGGTTTCTAAAAAAACTAAACATGGACAACTACAGGACGCACATTGTGCTTCTGAGCATTTATCCCAGATAAATAAATACTTAAGCTCACTCAGAATGTTTATAGCAGCTTTATTCTCAATAGTCAGCAACTGGAAACAACCCAGATGTCCTTCAGTGGGCAAATAAACTATTAGCCATTCTACTGACATTTAAGTAACTATCAGTCACGATGGGGTCATATACCATGGAATAAAACTTAACAATTAGAAGTGGCAAATCATTGATATGCACAAAGCCTGAATATTTAGAGAATTAGACTGGGTAAAAAAAAAAGTCAACCCCCAAGTTCCACTTAACATTCTTCCTTCTTTCTCCATTTTCTTTTGAGTGTGGCATGGATATCTAAGTTAATGTATGTTGTTGTGCACTTGTATATAGGGGTCCAAGGTTGATGTCAGAAATCATGGTTGGTTGTTATTCTACAATATTCTTTGTGTCAGAGTCTCTTAGTCAAACTCAGAGCTATTGGATGTGGCTAGGCTTGCTAGCCAGTTTGGTCTAGGGATCATTCATAAATGGAGGTTCTGGGGATCTGACTCCTCATTCTTGTGAGTCACACATTTTAACCACTGATCCATCTCCCCTGCACATATTTATGTAGTAATATTGAAATAACAAAAATTGAGAAATGGCTGAAAGATTAGTGTTACCAAGCGTCGAAGAACAGTGGAGACGAAAGGGAAGAAGGTGTGGCTGCAGAAGAACAAAGAAAGGGTCCTCATCACAAAGGACACAGCGCGTACTTACCTGTCTAAGTTTCAGTATCCTAACTGTGATATCGTAAGACAGCGCTGGAGAAACTCAGTAAAGGAGAAAAGGATCGCTATTGTTTCCTTTACCACTGTACAAGAACTTAAAATGACCACAAAAAGCCAGTAAAAGGTCAGTGGATATTCTAGGAGGTCAATTCCATACTTTCTAGAACTGAACCCACACTAGGGGAGAGACGGGATTGTGAATAAATCTTAAGATTTCCATTTTTAAAAGATTTATTTATCTAATATGTATGCAATGTTCTGCCTTCATGTAGGCCAGAAGTTGGCACCAGATCTTATTACAGGTGGTTGTGAAGTCCTATGTGGTTGCTGGGAATTAACTGAGGACCTCTGGAAGAACCACCAGTGCTCTTAACCACTGAGCCATCTCCCCAGCACCAAGATTTATATTCTTAAGAAAGAGTCTTAGATCATTTGTCAAACTCTTCTGATTTTATTTCTCTCTGATATTTATTATGGTATGTAATAATCAAGACTCAGGGAAAGACAAGATGCTCCTTCTGTGACAGGACTTCTGCTTTGCATAGAACTTAAAATCGATTAGCCGATTGAGCTATAGACATTAGAAGACGAAACTAGATTGCATTAGACGCTACTGTCAAAATCTATTTCTAAATGGTTTTTGTTATTCTTATCTATTTCTGACTTATTAGATTTCCTTCTTTTATTCTATTTTGGATCCATGTTCCCATGGCGCACTGATCTGGTGTGAGAGCGCTTGCTGCCGAGGTTGATAGTCCCTGGAGCCTACATGACTCAAAGAAAACTAATTCCAGAAAGGTTGTCCTCAGACGGTCGCATGTGCGCTGTGGCACCCGCTGCAGGCACCTATCCAGCCGCGCACACAATGTATTAAAACTGTCTTTTAAAAAATCCTGTAAGTGTTTTCCTTTTCTTGCCATCCTTCTGCCTCAGCCTCCTGGTGTTGGTATTGCAGCAGTGGGCCATGGTGAGTTGGAACAGGTGTTCTCAGCGCTGATTAAACGAGCAAGACAAGAGCATTGTTCAGATGTTAAGTCGAAGCGTATATTGAGTTCCAACTAATTCGCAGACAGTGTGCCTGCCTGTTCCGATGCTCAGAACGGAGCAGTGGGAAGCACGCTGAAGACTTCATTGATGGTTGTGTGGAGGGGATGAGAACCACAGTAGGGCCAAAGGGTGGCCTCCTCTCTCCAGGCTGCTGTGGTGCCACGGAACCCTCTGCAGACACCTACCCAAGCAGGGAGCTGCTGGCTTAACAAGTAGGGGTTAAAGTGTGAGAATTTCAGAACCTGCTTTGGGGAAGGATTAAATAAATCAGGCCTGCTGACAGCAATAGTATCTTTGAGCAGCTGAGTTGAAACAGAATCAGAGAACTGAGATGAATCCCAGGTGGCCATTGGGAGCTGGAAAAAGTGCCTGTGACTTGGGTGACTGTTAGTTCAGCTTCATTTTAGCACTGTGGATAATCTTTAAGCGACAGCTTATTAGAAAAGATTACATTCAACACAGCGGTAGAATGAAGATATATTAATTTAGAGGGTCTTTCCTTTTTCTCCTTTTTTCTTTTCTTTTCTCTTTTTGTTTTTGAGACAGGGTCTCTATAAAGCCTTGGCTGTCCTGAAACTCCCTATGTAGACCAGGCTGGCCTTGAACTCACAGAGAGCTGCTTGCCACTGCCTCCTGAGTCCTGTGATTAAAGACTTGTGCCACCACCTTGCTAGGCCAATTTAGAGAGCATTTCATTTAAATAATTTCCCCAGTAGGAGGACATAGAAGGTTCTAAAACTGCTTCAGTTGGCCTAATGTATACTATATCCTATTTTATTTTCATTTTGTTCTTTTTCTTTGTTTCTTCTTTGGTTTTGGGGATCAAATCTTGGCTCTCGAGCTTTCTAAGCAATGCTCCACTACTGAGTTACATTCCCAACCCTTTTGCTGGCTTTGAACTCACTAGGTAGCTAAGAATGACTGTGAGTTTAGATCTTCCTTCCTCTACTTTCTGGGTGCTGGAATTACTGTCCGGCCACTGCATTTCCTTTTACACATTGCTGATGGAAAGAAGGGCTTCTTCATGCGTCAGCAAGTACTCTGCCAACTGAGCTGCATCTTAACTGCTCCTTAAACTCGCATCTTAATCTTGAGACAAAGTCTGTTTTTCCTTTTCTGAAAACAAATTGAAAATAGAATATTCTTTCATACAATACATCCCAACCACAGTATCCCCTCCCTTCACTCCTCCCAGCTCCCCTTTCCACTTCTTCTGTTCCCCAGATTTACTCCTCCTTTGTTTCCTCTTCAGAAAGCAACAGGTTTCCAAGAGACTGTGTTTCTTCCTATTGGGTTGCCTTGTCTGTAAGCTCTTCAGATGAAAAAAATTCATTTCGACAGTGCATTCAAGCTCTCATTCTCCCAAAACAGTGACCCATGGATGTTACTCAGGGATGCATTTGTGAGTGTAGAAAGGAAGCGTTTTCACTCCCATGGTGGGCAGTGGGGAGAGAGTGGTGGGAAAGGAGTTTGCTAATACAGAGTGTGTAGAAACCATTCCAATATGTAAAGGTCACTGTAGGTATTTACCCAGAAGTGCTTTGGAGAGCAAGGCCTTTGAATTAGGTCCCTTCTAGGGACATTGCTTCTTCCACGTCCACTGAGGAGAATTCAGCAGGACTTTCCCCTCCCTTCACAGTTTCTCCAGACAAGAAAAGACAAAGGGGGAAAAGTCCCTGCAAAAGACTGAAACCGGCCACAATCCTGAAATTAATAATACAACTAAAACATTAGCACAAAACCAAACAAACACCGGAGAGATTTTACGAGATCAAGTCGGAGTTAGAGAAAGAAGAGGAAGAGGGAAATCATCAAAGTCAGGACAAGCTCAAAGGAGTTTAATAACTGCTATCAGATTGCACCTGAGACTTTAGCACCTGGGATGCAGCTGTTTTGTTTTAAGATGCTCCTGTTCCCGGTCCAGCCAGCCGTCGACGGTGACCCGAATGCACAAGTCCAGGCATCTGCAGAGGCACTGCTAGGTAATCCAGACCACTTAGGGAGTGATGGAAGAGCAGGCAAAGTGGAAATGCGGAGATTCAACATAATACAGCTGAGGTCAATAGCAGTGAAAAATTAGCAATATCAGAAGTCTTCTTGTACTGAAATCACACCAACAGCATTTTGTACAAGTTGTGCATGTAAGGAAGTTTGCTTTTTATGTTTATTAGTAATAAATTCTGAGTAGTAGCTTGGATGTTTCAATTTTTAAAATATTTTTATTTATTCTTTGAGGACTTTATACAATATATTTTGACCATATTTGTTCCCCTCCCCTACCTCCCTAGCTCATTTATTTTTAAAAAATACTTAAGGGCAAGAATAAGTTTCATACCCTGTGGCCTGGGTGGGTGGACACCACTATGATGAACAGGTACACGGTGGAGAAATGGGAGACGGAGAAGCAAAGTAGTTCATGTGTGTGGAGAGACACAGAACTGAGATACGACAGCGGTGAGGAACAGGCTCATGTGAATGGTCTATGCTGCCACGTGGGGTGGTGTGATGTCCACTGAGGGCCATCTCTGGGGTCTGTGTTGATGCTCATGGCTCATTACTGCCGAGGGACATACAGATGCCCATGGTCTGGACCACCATCCGAGATCATGTTGATGTCCATGTCCAGACGTTGCTGCCTCCAGGGTCATACCAATCTGGAAGGCCTGTGCTACCACTCAGAGGTACGGTACTGTGGGCCCAGGGCCTTGTTTGGGTTCATGGCCCTACTGCAGCTGGGGTCTGTGCTGATGTCCTTGGCCTGTGTTACCACCCCGGTGACCTTGGCACCAGATAACTGGTCCCAACCCTCAATGGCCCTGGGAGAACTGCCTCCCTTCACCACCACAACAGTGGGAGAGTTGGTTCCACCCCTTACCATATAATTAGAAGAACTGGCCCTGAAGGCACTCAAGAGCTAATCCTGACCCTCTCTTGAGGGAGGCAGTCCTGGTGGACACCCAAACTGGCCAACTCAGCTTAAACTCAGACCTACATCCAGGACTTTAAAGGAGTTGGTCCATTCCAACATTGACCCCATCTGCTGGAGCTCATAAAGGAACTGGTCCTGCGGAACTGTAGTCACAGGATCTCCATGACTCAGGGCAACAGCAGGATGCCCTAGAGGAGTCTCGGTGAGGGTCCAGTATTGATGGTGTACTAGACGCCAGAAACCTTGAACCAGACCAACAACTCATTACAATGAACTTTTGCAAGTAAAGGTGTTCAGGCAAAAGGGTCTACTGCATGACACACTGCAGCTCCCAAGGCCACCACAACAAATGAATGTGAGATAAAGAGGTGGGAGAGACAAGGGAGAGATCTTGTTAAAAATTATATTTGTTTTGGTGGAGGCTACATTGGTGGAGGGTGGACATGAAAGGACGGGAAAATGAGTGAGATTGGGGTGCATGATGTGAAATTACCGAAGAATCGAGAGAGAGAGAGAGAGAGAGAGAGAGAGAGAGAGAGAGAGAGAGAGAGAAGAAAGGAAGAAAAAAGAAAGAAAGAAAGAAAGAGAGAAAGAAGAATAGGCTTCACTGCATAGCCTAGGCTGGCTGGAAATTCATTGAAATTCATTGAATTCTGAGTACTGGGAATGGGTATGAATAAGTAAGAGTCACCACACTCAGCCTTGGACAGTCTTTAGATTATTGTGAAACTTTAAGTCTTTCGGGGAACTCATTTTATTGTTTGGTGAGTTTTATGCTTTCATTCACAAAGAATGATTTATTGGAGCTGAGCAGTGGTGGTGCATGCCTGTAATCCCAGCATTTGAGAGGCAGAAGCCAGTCTGGTCTACAGAATGAGTTCCAGGACAGTCAGGAATTCACAGAGAAACCCTGTTCTCAAGAAACAAAAACAAAACAACAAAACAAAAATCCCAAATATGATTTATTGGTAATGAGCACCTGTAGTTTTGCACAAAGTTATGGATGTTAACTGAACCCTGCTCTACCCCACACCAGAAATGAGATAAGGATAATAGCAATAATATAATAATAATAATAATAATAATAATAGCAACAACAACAGTTGCATTTATTATATGCTCTGTTCTGAGTGTGCTTCTCATATGGATTCTTATTTTTCACAATTCATCACAAAAGCTGCTGCTACTACCCCTGTTTTGTAGAACACTCAAAGCACAAACGTGTAACCAGAATCAAAAAGCCGCACAGAACTGGAAAGCACAGAGTGACTCCATAGAGTTTTATCTGCTTTCATTCTTTCATTCAGCACATAACTCATTGAACATGGATAGTTTTATGTCAGCTTGACACTAGCTGGAGTTCTCTGAAAGAAGAGAGCCTCCATTAAGAAAATGCCTCCATAATATCTGGCTGTAGGGATTTTCCTTAATTAATGGTTGATGTAGGGGGCCCAGTCCATTGTGGGTGGTGCCAACCCTGGGCTGCTGGTCTTGGGTTCTATAAGAAAGGTTGAGTAAGCCATAAAGAGCAAACCAGTAAGCAGCAGTCCTCCATGGTCTCCATGTGCCTGCTCTGTTTGAGTTCCTGTCCCGACTTCTTTTGATGATGAATGGTGATACGGAAGTGTAAACCAAATATACGCTTTCCTCCCCAAGTTGCTTTGGCCATAGTGTTTCATCCCAGCAATAGAAATCCCACCTAACAGACAAGTTGGTACCAGGATAATGGGGCATTGTTGTGGCAGATCTGACCATGTTACATTGTATTTGGAAGGATTGTGAAAGAACTTTGGAACTTTGGGCTAGAGAAGTTATTGAGTATTAAGAGCACAGTGAGGTGTTTTGGGGGAGCTGGGAAGACAAGAATGCCCAGGGTTGTGCAGATGGTGGAGGCCTGGTCTGTGGAGTTTCAGAGTGAACAAAGACTGTGCCAGGATTTTTGTGTGAAGAATCTGTGGTGTCTGGTCATTTGGAGCTGAAGAACTGAAGAAGTGGCCGTGATTAATAGGACACCAGAACTACTAAAGCAAAGCCTCGCTTTACTGGGACAATGGGTACTGGCCAGCTGGAAATGGACAATCCGCTGTAATTAAGAAGACACCAGCACCACTGAGGTGAAGTCTTCTGGGAAGTGTCCCCACACCCCAGGGTCAGTACACAGAATCTGTGTTCTAGACTTGGCCAAGTTTGTACCTCCTGTTGGCAGCCGAACTTGGTAGCATAAGTCACTCAGGTGGTATTGGTGTTGAAGACATGAAAAGGGGTCATGGAGAGCAGTTGAAGCTCGGCACTGTGTGTCAGGGCTGGAGTTCCTGAAGAGAACCTAGAAGAGGCTATTGGTAAAAGTGCAAGCCTAGTTGCAGTGAGAAACCCTAGCAGTTTTTAAGATGTCAGAACCGGGGGATGACCCTCAAGAACAGAATCAAGTGGGACCAGCCAGAGACTGGAAGACAAGTTGTGTGTGTTGCAGAAGCAGAGCTGGAGAAGTGACCCAACCCCCTTGGAGGAGCCCAGAAGATCGTGAGTGAATCCCAGAGAACTGGACATTTCTTTACACTTTTGGAGTTTGCTTTTGCTTGGTTCAGATTGTAGCTGTGCCGTGGTTCTTTCTTCTTAAAGTAAGAAAGTATTTAATTTATTGTTGATCTGACAGGAGTCCACAGTTGAGAGACTCTGAATTTTAAAAGACTTTGGATTTTAAAAGTTGTCACTTTAAAAAATTTTTAGGCTATTTTAAAGAGCCTGAGTTTTTAAAGACTGTGAGATTTTTGAAAATTGGAAAGCTTATATTGTAACATTAATATTAATGTGTGGTCTTGGGGGAGAGAATAAGAAAAGAAGGGATGCATCTTAACAGTGATGTGTTTGTGTGTTAAGCTGACATGAAATCAATTGTACTGGCTAGTTTTGTGTCAACTTGGCACAAGCTAGAGTTAACTGAAAAGAGGAAGAGAAAATGCCCCTGCAAGGTTCTTAATTAGTGATTTATGTAGGAAGGCCAAGCTTATTCTGGGTGGTATCATCCTTGGACTGATCGTCCTGGATTCTATAAGAAAGCAGGCTGAACAAGCTATGATGAGCAAGCCAGGAAGCAGCACCCTTCCATGGCCTCTGCATCAGCTCCTGCCTCCAGGTTCCTGCCTTGTTTAAGTTTCTGTCCTGACTTCCTTCAACATTGAACAATGATATGGAATTATAAGTCGAATAAACCCTTTCCTTTCCAAGTTGTTTTGGTCATGGTGTTTCATCTCAGGACTAGAAACCTTAATTAAGACAATCATCTAGTACATGAAAGGCATTTTAGATAAACTGTTAGTGAATCTAGGTAGCCATCTGTACTTTCTTTGAACTCATAACTTGTTGAACATAAAGGTAATAAGTGGGTTTCATGAGACGATATTGAAAATGAATCAATGATGGTATGTAAGTTAGTATTGATGTAAGCCCCTAGGCTGGCTAATCGTATGCCAACTTGGCATGAACTAGAGTTATCCAAAGGAAAGAATCTCAATTGAGACGATACTTCCATAAGATCCAGCTGGAAGGCATTTTCTTAATTAGCGATCGATCGGGGAGGGGCCATCTCTTTGTGAGTTGTTTCATCCTTGGCCTTCTGGTCCTACATACTATAAGAAAGCAGGTTGAATAAGCCAGGGGAAGCAGGCCAGTAAGCAGCACTCCTCCATGGCCTCTGCATCAGCTCCTGCAACCAGGCTCCCTTTCCATTTGAGTTCCTGTCCTGGTTATCTTTGCCAATGGCCATCCATATGGAAGTGTAAGCCGAAATAAACCCTTTCCTCTCCTGCTGGCTTTTGGTCATGGTGTTTCATTACAGCAACAGAAACCCCAAGATAACTCCTGAATGAAACCACAGAACTGGATTTTTTTTTTTTTAAATTTATTCTCATGTGTCTTTGGCATCATGCATCCGGATTCCACCTTTCTCCCATTCCCTTGTATCCGCCCTCTGCCCCTGCAACCTCCCCCCTCCACAAATAAAACAAAATAAAATTTAAGAATAAAATAGGAAAAAAGAAAAAAAAGGAAGAAGGGGAAAATCTTGTCACGGAAGCTGCAGTGTGACACAGTGAGTCACACAGTGAACCCCTTTATTGGTACCAGGCGTTCATCACCAAGGCAGTACCAGGGATGCCCCTCTCATGCCCTGAGGGCTGGCTCACCTGTGTTCCTGTCTACAGGGTCAACTCTACCGTGCTGTCCCGGTGAGGCATGGAGCCCATTGTCTCAAGCGCTACAGCAGGCGAGAG